GCCGGTTGCATCCTCGGAGCCTCTGCCCACAGCTGTCGGCTGGGTTTGCCCCAGGGGGACTCCCCAGGGTTAGGGGTCATACCTTCTACATTCAAGGGGACTCTGAACTCTAACCCCCACTCCTGGTCCAGGCCTCCCTTTCCCACTCTCCTTAGCCACGGAACAGACCCCACCAGCCATATGCGGCAGGGCAGCCAGCTGCACCCTCTCCACGTCACTGCACCACGTGGGCAGGGTTACCCACGACCCCACCCGGTTTACTTTGCCAGAAGGTGCATGTGCTCTCTGAGAGAGGCCCCCGTGGGGAAACGGCCCCTGCAGTCTCTTCCTCTCTCTTCCCTTGGGATTTTAGGCACTTGCACACCCAGCATGTTTAAGGTGCCATGTCCGTGTGTGACTCAATGCAACATAAACAAGATGATGATGATAATAAATTAACTAATTAAAAAAAGACACCATGTCCGAGACTCGACCCGCATTTGGCCATGTGGGCTCCAGCAGCCTTAACCACGCCGCCACGGGACAGCCTGCCACCCAGACCCTGCTTCTTCACAACACAGCAGGCATCCCAGGAGCCTCGGCCCCTCGTTTCTTGTGTGACCCTGGGAAGGGACACAGGCAGGGCCACACCAGATGCTGAGGTGCCTCAGCTGCCTGTGGCTGTCTGTCTCAGGGTTCAACACAGCCAGCCCCCCTGGCAGAGATGCAGAGGGAGCAAGAAGTGGGGGGGCCGGAGCGCAGGGAGTGCAGGGAGTGCGGGAGCACCGGGGTGGGGATGCCTGCCATTCCTCAACCCAGTGCCCACGCGGCCGGGAGCATCCACCCACCAGGAAAGGGAAATTGAAAGCATCCCCATCCGCCATGTGAGCACAGCCCAGAGGCTGGGAGATTAGAGGCCGAGCCCTGGGGAGGCTGGGGGCGGCCGTGGCCTGATCCTCCTCAGAGGACAGGAAAGCTGCAGTTTCCTGTTTCCGGTGCTGGGGTGCCTGGGAGCCTCTCCTGGCCAAAGGAAGCGAGTGAGGAGAAGGTGACAGCAGCAGTGGTTCATGTGGTTGGGGGAGGTCGCGTGTCGGCCGTGGGGACATGACAGCGGGCAGGGCAGATGGAGCCGGCCCTCCACCATGCCCACCTTCCTGGCCGGTGGTGGGCTGCAGGACCACTGTGGCTGCAGAGGCCAGGGTTGGATTTCAAGCCCACCCGGCTGAGTGTGACGCTGAGCGGCGTCTGTCCCCAGTCCTCTGCGCTGGTATCCCAGCCTCACCTGCCTGCCTGGGCCCCAGCAGCAACCTCCATGGGACCCGGTGGCCACAAGCACCTCATCTGTCCTCCAGGCCAGGACACAGCAGCTGTCAGGCTCATCTTGCAGCCAGCTCCTGTGGCCTTGGGATGTGGGCTGAGCCGTGACGGGAGGCAGGACGGAGGCCCACTCGGGGGGAACAATCTCTTCCTGCTCCCAGGAGGGAGGGTCTGGCCTCCCAGTCGGCTAAGCCACCGTGGGTCCCGCTTAGAGGGCTCGAGGCAGTGGGCTTCTTCCTGGACCCACCCTGAGTCTGGACAGGGAATGAATCGCTCAACCCCGAGCACAGGGGCTGGAGGATCCAAACCCGCTGTCTCCTCCGGGCCCTGGTCCAGGCCTAATGACGGGGAGGCCAAGCCTCATCACCCAGGCCTAGAGGCCACTGCCAGGGCCCACCACAGATGAGGTAATAGGGAGCAGCTGCCGGCCGAGGGCCGTTCTAGGTCACAGTCGGCCTGGGAGTGGCCAGGGCAGCAGATGAAGCGATTCGGGGCTTCAAGGCGAGGTTCCTGCCCAGGGAATAGGCCTGTCTGATCGCTGCCCAGGGCCTGCCCAGCAGCAGAGTCTCACGGGACTCCTGACCCCAGCAGGTCATGAGTTAAGGGCCTTCCTGGGCAGGAGCCCGCTCCCCGCTTGTCCCCAGGGCAGTCACTCCCCCACCACTTCCAAGGTGGAGGGCTGCAGGCAGCTGCTCCCCATCCGGCAGAGAGGGATGAAAGGCCTCGCTCGCATCTGCCCAGGGCTGGCCAGGGCTTGGGCGGATTAACCCAGTAGGCCTGGCCCCACGGCCTGTCGGGAGCACAGGGAAAGACAGAACAGGGCAGTGGAGTGGCGTCCAGCCGCTGTGGAAGGGCCACAGATGGAGCTGGTGCCTCTGTTGTTTCCTGCCAGCCTGTGGGACAGGCCGCTAGAATGCTATTCAGTCCTGGAGGGCCAGCATCTGCCCGAGGACCGCAGACCTGACTTACTCACTTTTTCAAGGGTTCGATCACAGTCTTTTGGATCTGGTTCACCTGCCAAGAGAAAAACCCAGTGATACCAAAAACCGAGGAGTCAGAGTATTCCTAGACGGGGAGCCCCAAGCTCCTCCTAAGAGGGAGGCCCATCACGGGTCCCGAAGAGCCCAGGAAGGATAGGCCACGGGGAGTCCTGACTCCGTGCTGGAGCTGGGCAGAGCTGGCGGCAAGCCCCAGGGCAGCAGAAATACTGTCCTGGCCCCGGCTTGGCCTTCCCGTGCTGGCTGCTGCCCATAGGCCCAGGGCGGCCTCGCCTAGTGTGGAGGGTAAGGTGGGCAGCTGCGGAGAGCTTGAGGGCCCCCCCTGGGCTCCAGAGGGAGATGCGGGCTCACAGGGCCTGGGGAGCCACAACGTAGACACAGGTCAGGCTGGGCAGGGCTGGGACTCCAAGGGCTGAGGGGACCAGGCAGGGAGAGGGCCCCGAAAAGCAAGAGGCAGGGACCTTCTCCTGGTTGAAGGCATCCATCCGCTTCATGGCTGTGTCCAGGGCTGTCACCATACTCAGAAAGTCGGGGTCTTGCTCACAGAGCGGGTTAGAGAGTAAGTCCAAGGAGATCTTCACGGCGGATTTCGACATAGCTGTGAAAGGTCAGAGCGTGGTGAGCCTGACAGGCCCAGCACCACGGCTCCTCCTCAGCATCCCCTGCCCCCCGAGGGCCCAGGGCCCGCACCCCCAGAGCTAGCTGCTGCCCCCAGCTGCAAAGCGCCACAGTGCCCCCAGCGGGTCCCTGCTGCTCAGAGCCGTTCCCCGCCAGCCAGTGGAACCTGCTATGACCGCTTCACTTCGAACTCGAAGCCGGAGCAGGACTGTCTGTGTGGGAGGCTGTAAGCACACACGCGGAACTTCAAAAAGCTTGCGGAGAACGGAGTTTACCGTATGAGTCTATTTTGGTGCAAAAAATTTTGAGATCCATGCAATTTTCAAAACACATTTCTGCAAGCTTTCTGAAGGCCCCCAGGAGCCTCATCCGACACACCTGGGCACACGAATGTGAACCTCAAAGGCCTCTGGGTGGCTGGGCACAGAGCTGGCTTGGGACCAGCAGGGACAAGTCGTGGGCCCTGGCTCATGCTGGGCACTGGGCCAGAGTGATGGCTTCGGCCCTGTGGGCAGCAGGGTGCTACCCGAGATGCCCAGTCCTGCCAGATCCTGCACAAGCAGCCAAAGCCTGTGGCACGTGGCCGGGCGTGGATGGAGCGCACTGACCACACGAGGCTGGGCCTGGCCCGCGGAGCCCGTATCCCGGCTCCCGGAACGCGGAGTCCCCGGACGTCGGATACGACCGACAGGACCAAG